AATAATGTCACTTTTACAGCGAAGAATCATAAAAACCCTACACAAAATCTTCAAAATCCAGTAAGTACACCATAATAATTTAGGAGCAACTTTTTCTTTCTATTTTCTAATATATCTCTCCACCAATTCTTAAACCCATGACTTGGATGTAACTGGAGCCCATCGACCACAAATGGAATCAATAAATTAAAAAATATTTTGGTTTGATTTGGGTTTTAATAGAATAGAATAAAAGACAAAAAGAGAGGACGTGGAGAAGGCGGAGACAAACACAATCACATGTATATATTAGTGGTTTCGCACATGTATTGTATGGGCAAGTCAAACAAATAAATAAAATATTTGTTATATGTTGTATGTATTTCAAATTGTAAGAGTTTTGTTTATCAAATTTATATTCTCAACTTCAAGGCACATCATTTTCTCTATTTATTTATTTATTTTTATTTATTTTTTTGAAATAGAAAATTAGGCACTTGACATAAAGAGAAAGAAAGTTTCAAGACACTGGAGTAGGTGCTCACATGTATAATAGCATAGATATATTTGGGGTGCGTGAGGAAATTAACTATAGTGCTCTACGGATTTTGTTACAGAAAGTTAATGAAGTTAAATTGAATGTTTGGTGTTGGGATAGGTTATCCCACTTTGACTAATTTAGACTTTTATGCTGTGTTTGGTTGAGAGATTTGAGGAAGAATTTAGAAAGAGAAATGGAAAAGATAGATGAAATATAAATAAAACTTGCCTATATTTCACTTAGTTTCACACAGCTTTTCTCTTTTCCTTTCCAAATTCCTCTCTAAATCACCAAACCAATCACAACGTTAGGGCTCGTTTGTTTTAGGTTGTTGGGAATGAGATTGGATTAGAATCGACAAGGGGTTCACTAATATTGTGTTTATTTGCAAAATGAGAAAGGGGATTCACAATACCTTGAGACTATGATAGGCCTCTATGGATGGGATTGGATTAGAATAGATGTGGAATTTACTAATATTGTGTTTATTTGCAAAATGAGAAAGGAGATTCACAATACCTTGGGACTATGATAAGCCTCTATGGATGAGATTAGTAGTTCCTTATGGAAGATGGTATTAAAAAAGCAATCCCTTGTGATTGGGTAATTCTATTTACATACCACCAATTATCTTAGTACACACCATGACTTTCTTTTTAATTAGTTCACACCACACTCAAATTAAAAGTTTTGATTTTGTCGCAATACACACCACCATTTTTTCAAATAATACCAAAGTATCCTTTCTTTCTCTAGCAAAACCCCAACCCTAACCACTATAGCAACCACTGTCGTCCGCCGGCAGCCATCCCTTCTCTACTTCCACGGACTCCCTACCCTCTTACTAGTGCCATTAACCCCTTCTCCCAAGCCCTCGTCGCCGCAGCCAGCACCAACCCCTCTTTCCAGTCCAGTCACGTCTCTCACAGTTCTGTCACCCATCAATCCATCGTTATATGCCCTTATCTCACTATCGCGAACAACCTCCCAGTCCAGTCACGTCTCTCACAGTTCTGTCACCCATCAATCCATCGTTATATGCCCTTATCTCACTATCGCGAACAACCTCACTCCCCCCTTGCTATCATGAACAACCCCATCCTTACCCCCCACCATCACGATCTATCTCTCCTACCTCTCCATCGCGACATAACCCTTTTTCATCCTAACCTCCTTCATCACACACACACACACAGAAAGAGAGTGTGTGTGTGTGTGTGTGTGTGTGTGTGTGTGTGTGTGTGTGTGTGTGTGTGTGTGTATGTAACGCCCCCAAATTATTACAATAATACCAATCCTTAAAGCAAAAAAATAATAGAATAATATGCTTTCATTCATCAGAGTTCGTTTACAAAAGTTAACACATGTGATATACATTCACAAATGTTCATCCTGAATTTACAGCATGTGTTGCAATATTAAGAGAACTAAAACTAAACATATAGGTATATGCCCTATAGGCTTATATCTTTCCAAGTCATTACTTGGTTGCACAAAAGTGAGCCTAGCTCAATACAATTTAAGTCATTGGCTATACAAAATAATAAAACAAAATAAAAAAGCTCTTACTTCCCAAAAGTCCCTCCAAGCTATTGCCTTCGCGGAGGCATGTCACTAGCACTTGAAAATGGTTTTTCTCAAATAGGATGAGCCAAAACCTAGTAGGAATAATTTAGCACAATATATGAGGTTTAGCAAAGATATAAGTACAATGTGCATATACAATAATTGTGACAAAACATTCACAATCCGCAAGATCACAAAGTACTATAATTTATATCTCAGTCTATTGTCCTTCTGTTCATATCAAGTCAATTCATTTTATCTCAACTCATGAGCCAATTTCATTATGTTCCAGATAACCCAACTGAGTCTGACACTTAGTGATCCTCTAATCAACACAACTATTGCATAAACACTTCAATTTGCCATTTTACGAAATTTTCGTCCACGGGAATCGGCATCCATGTATACACAAGATTTCGGGACTTTCACCCTAGACACTCTGGCTAGCTTAATTTCAATGGAGTCCATTCCCTATCTCCTCTAAAACAATGGAGTACATCCCCTTTCTTCTCCCAAACAATGGAGTACATCTCATTTCTTCTTCATACATATACAATGTACTTATAGCATAGTCACATTCAATGAAAACCAACATTAGATTAGTTTCAATTTACCTAATCCTCATGCAATTTCTACAACAAACATAACTATCCTCCACTGATAGCTCAATGCAGATATTTCTAAATAGATATACAATCTTTTCAATAGATAAATTATTCAAATTTTCATGGGTGAGAGACAACACGTGTCCAACTCCACCATTTATATCAATACTCATCCAATTTCACATTACCAATGTCAATTTCAATTATTCACACAAAATAACTATTTGACCCAATTAGGGTAAAACTCCTATTTTTTCAAATGTCAACCCAAGTACCAAAATCAACAATTTTGACATATATAATACAACCTCATTTTCAAACTCCATAACTATTTACTTTTTATTCACCAAAAACTCCTCTTTTTATTTCACACCCAAATACTAGGTTTGTTCAAGCTACTCCCAAATCCTACCATTGTTACATAACGACAAATAACTAAGCTAAAAACCATATAAAAGTGTAGAGAATCCCTATCTTAAAGAGAGAAAACGAGCAAGGCAAGGATGAAACTCTAAAGATGCTCAAACCCAACTTTGTTCGGATCAAAATGAAGATCTTGAGACGCTCTACCTTTTTCTCAAAGGCACTAGGGTGAAGATCCCAATGGAGCTAGGTGAAATAGTAGAGAGAAGATGAGTTTTAGAGAAAGAAACTCAAGATCTAGGTTTTTGTAAAATTTTAGAGAGAGAGAGGAATGAAAAAGTGATGAGAAATGTTATCAGAGAGAGAACTCTAGGGTTTTCCAAATCCAGATGATGAAGATAGACGATGGGCTGAAGATGGATGACGGGGGAAGAGATGCGAGTTGCAGTTAGCGATTGCGGGAGGAACAACACAAGTTGTAGTAGCGGTGGGGGGCGGTGCGAATTGCAGAAGGAAAAAAAGAAGAAGAAGAAAAAGAAGAGAGAGAGGGGTGTCAACAACGGAGGCTGAGAGAAGAAGTTGAAGAAGATGGAGGTTGAGGAGTGAAGGCACCGAAGTTGGAGCTGGAATTGGAACCAGAGCTGTCGGAGATAGATAGTGGTGATGACTGAATGTGGTGTTTATGTCTGAAAAGGTAATTTAATTAAGGGATAATATTATAATAAAAAAGTAATAAATGGTGGGTACTGAGAAAATAAGTGGTGTGTAAATAGAATTTTCCCTTGTGATTAGAGTTGGATTTACTATTTTATCCTCTATTATCCTACCTAATTTACTTATTTTACTTGATTTGTAGGATCTTTTCTTTATTATTATTATTTTTTAATTATTCCACTATTCTTTATATAAAAAATGATTTAATATAAAAATATAATAGTATAATAATATTTATACTAAAAAAAAAATAGTTCCAAAAAAATATATATTTATGAAATTTAATTTTTAATATTAAAATATAATTTTAATATTTCTAAAATATATTTTTAATATTAAAATATATAATGCATTTATTAGTTGGTATAACCCCAAATTTGATAGTAATGCAACAAAGATATTTGTAAAATTTTACATGATTAATCATATTCATATCTTTCAAAACAAATATGAATTATTGCTAATCCACTAATTATTAAACAAATATAATTTTTTTTAATCTTTTTACTAATAATTCTCACACTAACTGTTTGGCAAGAGCTAAACGGGACTTTTTTGGCTATTTTAGTCACAAAAGACAAAATAGGCTATTTTAGCCACAAAAAACAAAATATCACATTCAACCCATAATCATTACATTCTTCTCTCACAAAAAAAGTCAAAAAAGTTAAAAAGCCAAAAAACCTTTCCCAAACCAAACTTTTTAGCCCTGGTTAAAATAATCAAAAAAGTCAAAAAATTAAAAAACTAATCCACTTCCAAAACGGAGGCTAACAATTCATCTAATGGAACCTTGGGAGAAAGACAAAAGAGATGGAATTCTAGAGCAAGAGTAATATCCAAATACTTTTCAAAACAATAAAATCTCGAAATTGGCGTTCTAAAAATGAATGGGCCTAAAATCCACGGGGTCAATGGCAATGGTGAAGCGATGGATCCTAATCCCTACTACATTTCTTATTGAAAAATGCTTGAGAGTACTAATTAGTGTTCCCACTAATTAGGTGACAGTGGGTCCCGCCATTAATGATGTGATGTTTTGGTCTTGGAGTTGTAATTTTTTTTTTTTTTTTTTTCTTTCTTAATGCATTAGTGCTATTAGTGGTGGTGTTTTTAGTGGGATGAATCATTGTTGTTTCTTATTACTCCCCAAATATCACGCAGTTATAAGCATTTACCAATTAGTATAGTTTGCCTTCTCTTATCACATATCTATTCATTTATTCCCTAAATTGCATAGCCAAATACACTGCATCAAATTAATATGTGCATATTGTATATATAGAAACGAATATTACAGCCTCTGTGGTTTACCAAATACACTAACAAAGCTAGTAAACCAAAGCATGTAAGAGATCTGTTACAAACCCACAAAAATTTATCCGAAATTTATTTAATGTATGGATCACATTTATTGTAAATGCAGATTTCACTGTTTAAAAGTTAAATTTTCACTCTCCATTAATTTTCTGGTCAGATTTCGGGCCTTCAATATGGGACCGTAACTTTTCTGTTATATATCATCTACCTCCAGAGAGAAGCGATTCTGCAACAGAAGACGATTGTGAAAATGCCTTCTCCATAGAAGATGGATAAGACATTGCAAAATCATCAAACCTTTCTCGTTTGGCAAACGTTAATCCAGTAGCCGAAATCTCGAGAGATGTCAGCTCAGGAAGCTGAACTTCTCCCTCCAGAAACTGTACAATTTGTCTCATACTTGGCCTAACTGCAGGTTCTGAATGCGAGCACAACAAGCCGAGCTTCAACACCAACTCCACTTCCTCAGCCACATATTCACTACCCAATTTTGGATCAATAGCCCGAAAAATTTCACCTCCGCTCCACAAAGAAAAAACCCAATCGACTAAAATTAGATGCTCGATTGGCGCACTAGGCTCTATTGGCCTCCTTCCACACCCCATCTCGAGAAGAAATGCCCCAAAAGCGTACACATCGGCGCTCGTTGTGGCCTTGCCTGTTCTAGTGTGCTCGGGGGCGAGGTACCCAAGAGTTCCAACAACGTGGGTAGTCTGAGGATCGGTTCCATGGTCATACAATCTGGCAAGCCCAAAATCACCCAATCTTCCATTAAGATCGCTGTCTAATAAAACATTGCTAGCCTTGACATCTCTATGCACCACCACTTGTTCCCATTCTTCGTGTAAATAAAAAAGTCCCGACGCCACGCCTTTAATGACCCGAAACCTTTGTTGCCAATTGAGAGTGGATTTGGGTTGGCCAAAGAGGAATTTGTCTAGGCTTCCATTGGGCATGTAGTCATAGACCAACAGGAGCTCCCCTTTTCGTCTGCAATAACCCAAGAGTTGCACTAAATTGCGGTGGCGCAACCGCCCAATACTAACGATTTCGGCTACAAATTCCCTCATTCCTTGTCTTGATTCATGAGAAACCCTCTTGACTGCAATCTCAATTTTTGATACGGGTAGTATGCCTCGATAGACCTTGCCAAATCCGCCAATACCCAAAAGTTCTTTCTCTCTAAATCCTTTTGTCGCGATATATAAATCTTTGAACTTGAATCTATGAGGACCATAGGCAAGCTCCCAATCTTCAAGCACTTCTGCAGACTTCCTCTTCCTTCTCACATAAAAAACTACACCGGCCATCACTCCAAACACCGACATTAGACAAATAATCGGCAACCCAATTGTCAAAAATTTCGATATCTTCTTCGGCCCAATTCGAGGAAGCTTGGGAAGTCGAGACAGGTCAAGAGCTCGAGCCTCGCCATTCACCTGAAAGCTCCATCCCAAGACATAATGAGATGTCTCAACAGAACCGGTGGACGACGAGAACCCAACATACATGGTTTCATTTACGATCGATGAGAGATCATAAAACATAGTGCAAAGTGGTTTTCTTGGCTTAGCAGTGTTGATTGGAGCCATTGTGACATTCATTTGCTTCTTCACCCCATCATAATCCACCCAAACTTGCATTTCTTTGCCACTAATGAGAGTCAAGTTATGAAACTGCCCATTTTGATCATCATAATAGCCCGCTCGCTCTGATTTTTTAGAGACCAAACTGTTAATATCAATTCCAACATGGTTTTCATCGATATCATTGAATTCACTGTTATAAATCGTGTCAAGCTCGACAGCTACGAAATGGTTGCTGGCATTGTCATTGTTGTTTTTATTGAAAAGGCCGAGGTATTGGCTCGAATCGACTAAAATTAGATGCTCGATTGGCGCACTAGGCTCTATTGGCCTCCTTCCACACCCCATCTCGAGAAGAAATGCCCCAAAAGCGTACACATCGGCGCTCGTTGTGGCCTTGCCTGTTCTAGTGTGCTCGGGGGCGAGGTACCCAAGAGTTCCAACAACGTGGGTAGTCTGAGGATCGGTTCCATGATCATGCAATCTAGCAAGCCCAAAATCACCCAATCTTCCATTAAGATCGCTGTCTAATAAAACATTGCTAGCCTTGACATCTCTATGCACCACGACTTGTTCCCATTCTTCGTGTAAATAAAAAAGCCCCGACGCCACGCCTTTAATGACCCGAAACCTTTGTTGCCAATTGAGAGTGGATTTGGGTTGGCCAAAGAGGAATTTGTCTAGGCTTCCATTGGGCATGTAGTCATAGACCAACAGGAGCTCCCCTTTTCGTCTGCAATAACCCAAGAGTTGCACTAAATTGCGGTGGCGCAACCGCCCAATACTAACGATTTCGGCTACAAATTCCCTCATTCCTTGTCTTGATTCATGAGAAACCCTCTTGACTGCAATCTCAATTTTTGATACGGGTAGTATGCCTCGATAGACCTTGCCAAATCCGCCAATACCCAAAAGTTCTTTCTCTCTAAATCCTTTTGTCGCGATGTATAAATCTTTGTACTTGAATCTATGAGGACCATAGGCAAGCTCCCAATCTTCAAGCACTTCTGCAAACTTCCTCTTCCTTCTCACATAAAAAACTACACCGGCCATCACTCCAAACACCGACATTAGACAAATAATCGGCAACCCAATTGTCAAAAATTTCAATATCTTCTTAGGCCCAATTCGAGGAAGCTTGGGGAGTCGAGACAGGTCAAGAGGTCGAGCCTCGCCATTCAGCTGAAAGCTCCATCCCAAGACATAATGAGATGTCTCAACAGAACCGGTGGACGACGAGAACCCAACATACATGGTTTCATTTACGATCGATGAGAGATCATAAAACATAGAGCAAAGTGGTTTTCTTGGCTTAGCAGTGTTGATTGGAGCCATTGTGACGTTCATTTGCTTCTTCACCCCATCATAATCCACCCAAACTTGCATTTCTTTGCCACTAATGAGAGTCAAGTTATGAAACTGCCCATTTTGATCATCATAATAGCCCGCTCGCTCTGATTTTTTAGAGACCAAACTGTTAATATCAATTCCAACATGGTTTTCATCGATATCATTGAATTCACTGTTATAAATCGTGTCAAGCTCGACAGCTACGAAATGGTTGCTGGCATTGTCATTGTTGTTTTTATTGAAAAGGCCGAGGTATTGGCTCGAAGAGCTTCCGGGAGGGCTCTGGTTGGGGAGACAATGAAGACGATGCCGTGGCCGCTGAGATTTGGATATTGGGGGATGATGGAGAAGACAAAGGTGGTGGAGAAGGAGAGAGAAGGAGAGTTTGGTGAGGTTTTGAAGGTGATTGGGTTGGGGAAGAAGGCATGGCCTATTTGTTGTTTGGTGCCATTGGTGAGAGCTAAGAGGCCATTGGGTGTGAACTCGGCTACGCCATCGAGGGTTAGGTTCGATGATCGGAAGCCATTGAAGGTGAAACCAAAATCTTCACTAGCTGCTAAGGGTAGTAGCAGAAGGAGGCACACCGGTGTTGCAAAGTTGAGAAACATGACTGTTAGTCTCGCACCATCCCATGATCCCACCTACCTATCAGTGTCTGCATTTATATGCTTTCAATGTGCGAGATCTCTCATTAAAATTTAGAATTTAGTGAGAATTTATTAGAAATTTCCTAAAATTTAAAACTTGCACTCCCTTTGGGTTAAAAATATTTTTTGAAATTTTTTTTTTTACATTTTTTGATATTTGGTACAATGTAAAATGAAAGTGAACGAAAAATATTTTTCATGATAAAAAAAAAGTCTATATGAACAAAAAATGTTTTCTACTTTTAAAAAGCAAAATACATTTTTCCGACTAAAATCTTACCAACATCTCCATATTACCTTTGTCACTCTCACCTCTACCACCACACCACCATCATCACGGCCACTATCACTATCACCATTGCTATCACCACCGCCCCCAACTATCGTGTCACCACCCCCACCTCTACCTCTACCTCTACCTCCGTTTCATCATCACCACTACCAAACATAAAAAAATGTTTTCTTGGAAAAAGTTTTCCACATAAAATGTTATTCATTTGAAAATAGTTTCTGACCAAACAAATGAAACGTTGCTGTCAATACTTGGTGCAAATAGAATTGAATGATTATTCTATTAAAATATTTATTCTTATGTGTGGTTCGACTAAAAAAATAATGACAAATGAATTACAAATGGAATTATTTTTTACTATTTTAAGAGAATAATCATTTAATAAGAAAAGTCTAATGAATTACCATTTCATTTCATTCTACCTTATTCCAATAAAAAAAATAAAGTGTTAGAGTTGTTAATTGAATTTAAAATTTTCACCCCTTATCTTTTAATTTTGAAGTCTATTAACTTATTGGTGTTTTGGGAACAAAGAAATAAACAGTTTTTTTGCCTTTTTTTTTTTTTGGGTCGGGTTTTTTTTCATATTAGGATCTTAACTTGACAGAATTTGAGGAGTTCGTAAGGCTCAACACAAACTTCGTTTAGATAATCTGAACCGTTCATTTGGTAAGACCCGCAATGTATAATATCTATGAAAAAATTTAGGGCGATCCGATAATTAGAACATTTTTATTTTATCGCATTTGTCTTTAAAAAAAATGAATGATTTATTTTAAAATTATGTTTGTCGTACATTTTTTTTGGATATAAATGTAATAAAAATGTTATGATTATCGACTCGAATTAATTTTTTTCATGAATAAAATACACATGTCATGTTTTGAAATTACAAAATTTAAGAAAATAATACTAATAAATTATTGACATTGATTAAGAGGATTTAAAAATTAATCAATAATATTTTTATATAATAATATAGATAGAAGTATACATATAGATATACAATTCATACCATAACCCATTAAACTAAAACTAATAATTATATCATTGCATGTTTTGAAATTACAAAATTTAAAGAAATAATATTAATATATTATTGGTAATGATTAAGCAGATTGAAAAATTAACCAATAATATTTTTATATAATAGTATAAATAGAAGTATAGTTATAAATATAGTCATCATTGCATGTTTTGAAATCAATTTAAAAAAAAATAATAATACTAATATATTATTGACATTGATTAAGAGAATTTAAAAATTAACCAATAATATTTTTATATAATAATATAAATAGAAGTATAGTTATAAATATAGTCATCATTGCATGTTTTGAAATTACAAAATTTTAAAAAATAATACTAATATATTATTGACATTAATTAAGAGAATTTAAAAATTAACCAATAATATTTTATATAATAGTATAAATAGAAGTATAGTTATAGTTATAAATATAGATTTCATACCATAACCATTGAAATTAAAAATAATAATTACATCATTGCATGTATTGAAATCACAAAATTTTAAAAAATAATACTAATATATTGACAATGATTAAGAAGATTTAAAAATTAACTTAATTTATGTAAATTAGATTTTAGATTAATCACAAAATGACATGTGTATTTTAAGTGTTAAGAAATTCAAAAAATATGAATATTGATATTTTCAACATCAAAGAAACCATAACGTTTTTTATTATATTATATAATTTAGATTATAAATTTTAAATTTATTGACCTGATAATATTTTTATATAATAGTATAGATATAACTTTCGTCAGGGATGTGGGTTGGCTTTTTGACAATTTTAGCATGGGGCTAAAAAGCCTTGTTTGAGATGAATTTTCAATTTTTTTGACGTTTATGAGAGAAAAATGAAATAATTATGGTTTGGATATGACATTTTATCTTTATTGATTTTTAAGTCTATTTTATCTTTTTTATGGCTAAAATAGCACCAAAAAAAAAAAACCCATGCCAAACATGAAATTAAAAATAGTCATCATTGCATGTTTTGATATCACAAAAGTTTAAAAATAATACTAATATTGACATTGATTAAGAGAATTTAAAAATTAACCAACAATATTTTATATAATAGTATAAATAGAAGTATAGTTATAAATATAGATTTCATACCATAACAATTGAAATTAAAAATAGTAATTACATCATTGCATGTATTGAAATCACAAAATTTTAAAAAATAATACTAATATATTGAAAATGATTAAGAAGATTTAAAAATTAACTTAATTTATGTAAATTAGATTTTAGATTAATCACAAAATGACATGTGTATTTTAAGTGTTAAGAAATTCAAAAAATATAAATATTGATATTTTCAACATCAAAGAAACCATAACGTTTTTTATTATATTATATAATTTAGATTATAAATTTTAAATTTATTGACCTGATAATATTTTTATATAATAGTATAGATATCACTATAGATCTAGATATAAATTTCATACCACAACCATTAAAACTAAAAATAGTAATTACATCATTGCATGTTTTGAAATCACAAAATTTAAGAAAATAATCCTAATATATCATTGACATTGATTAAGAGGATTGAAAAATTAACCAATAATATTTTTTATATAATAGTATAGATAGAAGTATAGATCTAGATATAAATTTCATACCATAACTATTGAAATTAAAAATAGTAATTATATCATTTTATGTTTTAAAATCACAAAATTTAAGAAAATAATACTAATATATTATTGACATTGATTAAAAGAATTTAAAAATTAACTTAATTTATATAAATTAAATTTTAGACTAATCATAAAATGACATGTGTATTTTAAATATTAAAAAATTAAAAAAATATGAGAAAATTATATTGAGATATTCAGCCTCAAAGATGCCACAATGTGTTTACTCATATTATATAACTAGCGTTATACCCCTGTTATACACAATTTAACGCAAATAATTAAAAAAAAATATTAATATTATGTAATTAATTTTTTAAATGTAGAAGAAAAATGAATTAAAATGAAATAAATTTTAATTCTTTTCACAATAATTACAATTAAATGTTTTTTTTTTTTTGGGTCTTGTCATTAATGGTGTGTTCTAAGAATTAAAAAACAAAAACATGTGTTATAACATAATTAGTCAAAAATAAAGAAAAAGAAAGTAGAATAAATTACAAAAGCCGCACTTACTATAAAACATAAATACATTATGCTATGCAATTATGTCTTATATTAAAATTCAACCGATAATATAAATAATCACGTGTTTCAATTGACTTTTACTCCTTTCTTCTTTTTGTGAAATTCACAAAAAATTGTTAACATAAAATACAAATTATAGAATGAAATATAAAAGAGAACAAAGAAAGTAATCATTTTCTCAGGTCACCCTTCAAAGTAGTGTGGGTGTTTGGGAAGTGTAAGTTTTTTTAGTTGTAGGATATTATTGGATAAGAAAATTTTAGTGTTTGAAAAGATAGTTAGATTTTTTTGTGGTTGGATGTGATGTTTGTAAAATGATTATGGAGTTGGATGTGATATTTTGTTTGGATTTATTTTTTTTTTGTTTTCCAAAAACTGTCTTTTAGTAAAAAAAATCAAAAAAAAAAACCAAAACCAAATCTTGCCAAACACCAAGCATAGCCATAAAATCTCTCCTCCAATAGATTAATTACAATCAAGTTAACCATTGAAAATAAAAATTAAAACTTGAACTTCCACTTCCACTTGGCTAATCCAGTATTCAGCCCACCTTAAAGTCATTCTTTTGATTCAACTTTTTTTTTTCTTCTTAATTTCCAAATTAATATATATATATATATATATATATAATTACTCCACATTAAAAAATTCTGAAACTAATATATAACATAATTAAATATAAATTAAGTGTTTTATTTTTACCATACCTGCAAGAACTATCACTTACTATTTTATTAGTTAAGGCTGAGATGTTTGTTGCGTTTAAGCATTTATTGATAAAAGTGTATGTATGATTTTTATTTAAATTATAGTTTGTATAATTTATATAAAAATATACTTTTTTTTTCTTTATTCATTAAAAAAATTATATAGAATTCACACTTTAAATAGTAGTTTTATAAATTTTTCAAAGTTACTCATAAATTTAAAAATAAAATTGTTGATTATCTGAAGTAATATATAATTTATTTGAAAATTGTACGTATATTTAACTAGTATTTTACTATAAGGGTCATATAAATTATTTAAATTTTATATGTTAAATAATTGAAGGTCATAGCTATTTTGATCATGTGCTATTTTGATCATGTGATGCATCTTATTTAGATCTTAAAAAATTTATAAATAAATTTTATGTGTTACGCTATAGTGAACATACAATTAAACGTCACATATGACATTGATATAATACAAACTGTCAGGATCAGACCAAATTCACTTGATGTTTGGCCAACGTTTTTTGGTCCAGGGCACTAAAAGTCACAAGACCTCTATTTTTATTTTTTAATTGTAATAATTTTATTTAAATGTTCTATAATTTAAAAATAAAAATCAATCTACTATATAAATAAAATATATTTACATGTAAAATAATTTAATTGAGTTGACTCACAAACTTTCTTATTTTGCTCACTTTTAAACTTGAACCATTTTAGTGATTACAGTGTAATTTATGAAAAACTCAAGTTTAGGTCCCACTTCA